CCCTCTGCCATGTGCCACCTTGCCTTGGAGCCAGCCAATTATGGACTGAAACTGCTACCAACTGTGAGCTAAATAAACCTTTCCCCTTTAACTCTGAGTGTTGGATATTTTGTCTCAGCAATAAGAAAAATAACAAAGACACATATTCCCTAAGAACTCAGAGAAGCAAGCAACACTTCCTGTCTTATCCACCATCGCATATCCTGAGTTCTTGGTTCCCCTTCCTGCCTTGCCCCTTCTCCGCATGATAGTAATCACCTTACGGTGTGCTCTACAGTTAACATACATGGTTCATGTAAGCTCCATGAGGGCAGGCTTGTTTTGTTCCTGGCCATATCCCAAATACGTAGAAGAGTGAAAAGTGCCAGACACACACTAGGTACTCAATACATATCGCTGGATCACTGAATTAGGCTGCAGTTAGCGATGCTGGGTAAGGCCAACATGGTTTGAGAAGGGCAGTCTTCAAAGTATATAAGACGATCAGTGTTTTCTGGCTTTCAGGACTATTCCTAAGGTCCCTGTCCACTTGCCTGTTTATCTCCTGGTTTCCAAAACAGCGGCTAGGGATTCGCTTGGATGCTAATAGAGACCCTGCTGTTCAGCGAGTTGCAGACGCTTGTAACCTCTGCGCCCATCTAGAATATGCTGACCAAGGTAGCTCATTTTATCCTTTTCTTCAGGAATAGCTTTGCGCCTAGACACAGGTGCTGTTTTTACATAAGGTCTTCTAGCTTCAAGGCCATTTCCAGTGTACTCTTTAGATCAGATGCTTTGGTGGGTCTGAGTTCTTCCCACCTTCACTTAGAACTTTTTATTTTTTGATTTAATTTAATTTAACTTAATTTTATTTTACTTTTTGTCTTGAGACAGGTTCTCACTATGCAGTTCAGGCTGGCCTTGAGCTCACTTTGTAGCCCAGGCTGGCTTTGAACTTGAAACAATCCTCCTGCTTCAGCATTCCAAGTGCTGGGATTACAGGTGTGTGCCACCATGCCCAGTTTGAAACTTTTTGCTTTATTATTTATTTATTTAGCTAGCTAGCTATTTATTTATTTATTGAGGCAGGGTCTCACTATGCAGTTCAGGCTGGTCTTGATCTCACTTTGTAGCCTAGGCTGTCCTCGAACTCGTAGTGTTCCTCCTGCCTCAGCCTCCGGAGTGCTGGGATTACAGGCATGTGCCACCACGCCAGGCTCAAAACTTTTTATTTTAAAATAATTATAAATTCAGAGGAATTTGCAAAGAAATGTACAGCACGATCCCCATGCACCTGTCACCCAGTCCTCTCCAGTGTGAACACCCTGCTTAACTACAACGTAACAAAAAAACAGGAAAGTGGTGTGGGCACAAACCATACAGCTTATTCATGTTTTACCAGTGATATGTACACTCATTTGAGTGTCTGTAACTATGGCTCTATGCAATTTTATTCCACTTACAGCTTAATGAAAGACTGCCACAATCATGAAGGTTATACTGTACTAAAGGGACTCCTAATGGTCTCTTTTAAAAAGCATCACAAGTGCAGATACTCCTTACCACATCACACTACCCTGAAACTTAGGGCTGAACCAGGACATTCTAAGTTGGAAAAGCACCCCTGATATTAAATTTCCTGTGGCCAGGGTAAGTTGAACACTTGACATTCTACTAGAACTTGTTTGCAATGACTTTCAGTGAGCCCCAGTGAGAAAATCCTCATCCTCTACAACTTCTTTGCTACCCTCTACCACCCTGGCAGGGAGCAGCTCTAGGCCACACAGAAGGAACATCTAAAGGTCACTCTTAAGATGTGAAAGAACATTTCATACCCTTGGCCCCTGAGTCTGTTTAGGGTAAACCATACAGGACCTTCTTCAGCACACCTGTGAACAGGTGACTGTCCAACACCAGAGGATGGTTCTTATCTCTGCATGTTGACACAAGTAATCAAGCCTACCCTCTTCAGTTGAATTCATTTCCTCGCTCATCAATTCGTGGTGAGGCAGCACGGAAGGATCCTTCCCCCCACGCCCTGCAGTCTATACCATGTATAAAAGGAGGGACCTAGGCCTCCCAGAAATACTTGGTGTGTAGGCGATGTCTGGAGCACTGGATACACCTGCGAGCCCCTGCCCTTTCTGCAGTAAGCTCCCCACTAGGCGGGTGAGGGAAGGAAGTGGTGAGAAATGAGGCTGAAATGT